ATAAATGTGTTGAGGTACTCATGGCGGGGAGTACGAACATTTCTACCAGACTACAAGGCGCTACAACCGAGAAGACAGCCAACTTCATAAATGTTTTGCCCACCACTGCAAATGAAATGACAAGAAATATAATTCATTCTCTTACATCAACAAACTTGTGTTGTTCCGATAGAATATTGAAAAAAAAATTACTCAATACATTCTCAGACTAAATTAGTGTTATTATATTATATTGAGATTTGATGAGGATTGTGCATATTAACTGGGATAAACATTCTGAACCTTGACGCTTGCATTTTTGTTAATTCTTAATACCACACAAACAACGATACACGAATAGTTACTCAAATAAATAATTCTTTAACTCTGCCAACAGGTGGTATCACTAGACAGAGGCATGAGAGAATAAATATTAAGGTTCGTAACTTAACATATTTGATTGTGTAAATCCATGTTACTATTAAAACTAAATCCTAAGAAATTCAAAGGTAATCTCAGGAAATAGTTTAACTCATACCTTAATAGCGGAAAACAAAGTAGAAATTAAATCACCTAACTTAAATTATATCACATGTGTTGTCATCTTTTTTAGCTTTTATATATCAATGATCCATCCTCAACCATAAATTGTCAATCCAAGCTTATATATTTTGCTGATGACATTATTATATAACATCCTGATAATGATGACTTTCAAAACTGCATTAATGATGTCTTTGCCCAGAAGAAATTTTTTTTTAAAGCCGATGAACTTCATGAATTTTTTTATTAACAAAACGTTATAAATTTAAATATAGATTATGAAAATAAGACAAAGTATTTAAGTACTGGGTTAGAAACTGATAGTAACTTAAAAAAGGAAAAAATCATTTAATATTCGAAATAAAAACAATTAGAATAATGGCATGTGTTACAGGGTATAAGCAGAAGGCATAAACATGGCCTCCACATGCCAAATCCTAACCTCACTTCCAGTAAGCATTAAAAGTTTAAATCATATATACTTCAATTGAAAATTATTAAATATTATAACATTTAGGTAAAGATTAAAGTATACAAAACAATAATGTTACCTGTTGTTTTGTATGGGTGCGAAACATGGTCTCTCGCTCTGAGGGAGGAACACAGATTGCAGGTGTTTGAGAATCGGGTGTTGAGGAAGATATTTGGGCCTAGGAGAGAAGACGATGGGGCGTGGAGAAAACTGCAAAATGACGAGCTTAAAAATCTGTACTCCTCCTCCAATATTGTCAGGGTGATGAAGTGCACCGGGTATTGGTTGGGAAGCCTGAGGGGAAGAGACCTCTGGGGAGACCTAGACGTAGATGGGAGGATAATCTCAGGCGGGATCTATGGGAGATAGGAGTTGAAGGAGACTGGATTTTGTTGGCCCAGGACAGGGTCCGGTGGAGGGCTTTGGTTAATTCGGTGATGAACCCTCGGGTTCCGTAAGCCATCTAGTTAGTTGGTTATAATATTTATGTAAATATTATTTACAAAGTGTTGGTATTCATATTATGATGCGGTCCACATCCTTGGCTGTTACAATTTGTCTATGGAATGTAAATAAATGATGTCCTACTCTGTCTTATTCAATGGAGGATGGGAAATATCAAAGAGATTATCAAAACTTCAGCCAAAGACAGTCTTAAGTCATTATGTGTTTTAAAGCAGCATAAAACATGATTTCATAAAGAATGCTCACAATTGTTAAAGCAAAAGAAGCCAAATAATTTGAATAATAATAGAACAGAATTTATTTACATTCCATAGATCCTTCACAAGCCTATGACATGGATGTAAAATATGACAGAATACAAATAAAATTCAATTGATTAGATACAAAGTTTTAACAGCTAAATAATAGAGTTTTTCAGAAAGTAATTTCTTCAAGGAATCATCACTATTATTATAAATACTTATAATAACTGTGGAATATTTTTTAAAGTAACTTCTTCAACTGTGTAGATGCAGTGGGATAACAGACACTCTTTTAGTGCTGGTTAAATACTTTTATGTTATGATTTAAACATTTTAACGCAGGAGGAACTTTATTAAATAATTTACTTCCTGTGTAGTAAACTCCTTTCAGATATTTGCTGAGCTTAGGGATTGACACTTGAAGGTTATGTCCGCTTCTTGTATTTATATTGCGTGCATCTGAGTTTGTTTGAAAATTTTCCATGTCAACCACAGCAAATGATAATAAAGATAAGAATTTGCTGGCTAGCGGGAAAATATTAAACTTCTTAAATAAGATGTGAAATTAATAAACATTTCAGAAAAAAAAAATCAAATATTTTTAAAAATAATTAATGAGCTTCAACATTCAGAACCAAAATATTAGAAACAATTGCAGAGGCATGAATGAATTTCATATTCTGAGATCCACAAAGTTATCAGTTTTACGAGATTTTAGGGTCTCGTGGTGGTGAAGAGGTTAGATCATGATGCCATGTGGAAATGTAAGTAGGTACCAAAGTTTTCTTGGGGCATACTACTTCCATCACAGCTGAGAAGACCAACAATGACATCATTAATTCTATTTGCAACAGGATTACCACAACAGTGTCCACAGCAATTTTAACAGAATGTCATTCTGTTTCACATCATACATTTCTGATAGACTTTTCAGTGCAATCAACATGGCTGGTAGACACAGCAAGGAAACAAAATTCTACAGACCAACACGAGAAATTCATCCAAAATTCGTGCAATCTTTAAACTTACCGGGTCAACCACTGCTCCGTAAGTGGGAACATGGTGAGATGTCAGATTTTCTGTTTCCTGAATAATTTCATCCATTTTGTAAGTTCCAGTTATTAACAGTGATGTGCATTCATGCACTAGCAACAACACAATCAGAGGAATTCAGAACGGATTTAACAACAAGGAAGAATGTCACATTCCCAATAGCTGCCACACATACACTGGAACACATCCGCCTCCTTACAAAGATTCCTATCACAAGCCACTACATGCCACGACCCGTCAAATGGATCACCAACCACGCGATTCGCATTTGTTTATTTCGATCATCAGCTGATTTCTCAAATAGTTTAGGTACTGTCCGCTAGATGGCAACCATTTACACTCGTCTCTGCAACATTGAGGTTAATACATGAATTTTTCTTTTCTATATGCAGGGCCATATTTAACTACAGGGGCATGAGGCACCAGCCTGGGGCCCCCCAATAAAGTCAATTTTGACAAAAAGTAAAAAAAAATATATATACGAATTTTACTACGTAAAAAAAATACAATGATAAATATGGGAGTCATGCAAAGTTACTTGAGGTCACGCCAAATATTTCGTTTCGTCTTATTGTTATTGTTAGGTTAAGTTCATGTTACTCCGTTGATATTAATCCTTTTTTTACAATAAAACACACACCTTTAATAACTTATTCTTGGGGTTATTGTTCTCACGGGACACTCAACCTACTGGGATGTTGTCAGTGCAAGAATAACCTAAGAGACAAAAAAAAAGGGCGTGTGATAACTCCAGTGCAAGAAGGACCTACGTGATATAGCGGGAAAGCCTATGAACCACTACAAAACAATGGTGTTCAGACGTTGTTTATCGAAAGACTAATGTTGACCCATGGGCCACAGATAATGGAAATTATCTGTAATTGCATCTTGATTAGATATTATATACTATGAACATCAATCTTGTGACCGATAAGTCATGTCAACAGATGGATCTGGAACTGTAAATTCCCGGAGATTCGAGTCATCGACTCCCAACGAGACCTCGACTCAAGTATTGCAAAGAGAAGTAAAATACATTTATGTTACGAATTCCTACAGTTCGTGGTCTTTGGATATTGTTTTCATGAGCGACGTTAAACAGAGGAGATACAACAAATACACGCAAAGATCTTATCAGTGAATTTAACGGGATTACCTGGGCGTAATAATATTGATGTTAATATGAAATAGGTGTGAACGTGGAGTGGATTAAACTTGCTCAGAGGCTGACCTTGGACTCACCTGTAACTCACGGATGTACTGTGGATGTTCACAGATCTGTATCTGTCTAATGTAATTCAATTTTATGTAATTTGAACTAACCTCTCTCTCTTCATTTAAGCTTTTGAAAATACACGCTCTGATCCTCGCATTTCCAACTTACAACTACCACCACCTGTTGTTACACTCCATGGCCAAAATCTTCCGCTAACAAACAAATAATCCCAACAACACACAAACAAATGTCGTGGTTACGTAAAGATAACCTCATTTGATAAGAAATCTTCAATTATAATCACAGAGTCATTAGTGAGAATTTGGTAGTCGCTCAATTTTATTTTTCTGAAAACCGTGTTCAAAAGGGCCCAGAACTGGTCAGTGGTTGCGCGTAACCAATAGCGAGACCCTTTT